TTATATATATTATGTCTATTTTGTTCCTCTATTCCCCCATTGCTGCTTTATTTTGTGTTAAATAAGTATTTTTAAAAGAGATTTTATTTATTTATTTGACAGAGAGAGAGATCACAAGTAGGCAGAGAGGCAGGCAGAGAGAGAGGGAAGCAGGCTCCCCACTGAGCAGAGAACCTAATGCAGCTGGATCCCAGGACCCTGGGATCACGACCTAAGCTGAAAGCAGAGGCTTAATGAACTGGTGCCCCAAATAAGTATTTTCTAGTATACCATTTTCATATTTTTTTTTTCTCTCTTTCACTATAGTTTCTTGAGTATTTTCCTGGTGGTTGCCCTGAGAGTTACAATTAGCAGCCTAAATAATATTTGGATTAATGGTAATTTAATTTTAATAGCATATAAAAATTTTGCTCCAAGTTAGTTTCATTCCCATCTCCTTCCTTTGTATCACATCTTTACATTATAAGCTGAATCTTTACAGTTTTATAATTCTTGCTTTATGCTGTTATCTCTTAAGTCAAATGGGAGAATAAAAATATTACAAAGAAAAATACATTTATACTCTCTTTCATATTTACCTATGTAGTTACTTTTTTTTTTTTTAAAGATTTTATTTATCTATTTGACAGACAGAGATCACAAGTAGGCAGAGAGAGAGGAGGAAGCAGGCCCCCTGCTGAGCAGAGAGCCAGATGCGGGGCTCAATCCCAGGCCCCTGGGATCATGACCTGAGCCAAAGGCAGAGGCTTTAACCCACTGAGCCACCCAGGAGCCCCTATGTAGTTACTTTTACTAGTGTTCTTTATTTCTCTGTGTGAACTTGAGTTACCAGCTTTTGTTTCTGCCTCTGCAATTCCAGTTTGCTGTCTATTCCCTCACACTAGACTGACTTGTCATTACCTACCATTAATTATTTTAAGTTTTCTCAGAAGACTGTTGAAGAATAAAGAATAGTAGAAAAGACTGTGAGAAAAATTGGGACAGGAAAAGTTTTCAAATTTATACTCCCTAGTAAGTTGAAATTTAGTTCAGACTCAAATATCAGTTATGGTTTATGGTTCATCCCCAGTTCCTCCAACCGTACAGACAATATAGGTGCTTACCAAATGTTTTTGGAATGAGTTAACATGAGTTCACATGATGATTAAAATTTAAATGCTGAATTATCTGAGGTCCAGAACTGGGAAGAACATTGTTATAGTCACATTAACTAAAATTAAGTGGGTCTAAAAAAGAAGACTTTTAGAGAAGAGTCTGTAGAATTTCCAGACTGACTAAATTCCCTGAGTCACATTGTCAAAAAAGAATTTAAGTAATTAATTGTAGCAAAGCACTGGTTAAGTCTTTTAATAAAGCTGAAAGTTCTTGAGAAAGTCAGACAAGGTCATACACTTTGCTCACTAATAATCTTACAATTCCAAAGTATATAACAGATTCCATGCATCTGTAATTTTAAGCAAATAGGATAGGCCCTCCATTTGATGGCTCACTTGATTTAGCCAATGGCACACGTAAGACTTTGGAACTCTGTTTATAGACATTAACAGTTGGAAATTCAGAGTTGCTCAAGCAGAATTCTACATAATCACCCATTTGTGGTTAATTTACTTTATAGTGGCTGCTAAAGCGAGCTCAGCTGAACTTGTCATTTTCCATTCCAATCTGTTTTGTAAATGTTTTTAGTTTTACAGCCCAAGCATTTTACTGCAAATCTTTTGGATCATATGGTTTATGCTAACCAGAACAATTCATCAAAAGAATATGGGTTATTTCTAAACCTGCAATACAATTTTGAACTTTCTTTAGAGTTTGAGACATGAAGAACTATAAGCTTAAATAATGGAGAAATAAACAGGGCGGAGTTTAGCAGTTATCTATTCAACATTTTTTTGGAATACTTTCTTAGTGCAAGATACCATGTTAAGTGCTGGTGATTCAATGATGAACAAGACAGATTTAGTTACCTCCAAAGAGTTTTAAAGTTATGTCAGTCTGTACATAAATGAATAAACAAATAAAAACTTCTATTATATGTAGTATACACTTACTAGTAAAAAATATGGAAGTAGGGAATGATCTTAACACTGAACATTCCTGGTCAAAATCGCAAACTCAATCTAAAACATCTTCATTCCTCTATGCTCATTCAATGCTTTTTCTCTTTCAAGAAATTTTTCAAATTCCAATTTTTCTATGAATAGTAACTGGGTAAGTGGGAAATGGATTTCCCGATGTTCTCTTCTATCAAAGTGTTCCCAGAACTTTCTCTTATTCTTCTACTCACTTTTTTCTTATAAAGTATTTATTGAGCAACTGGTATGTTCTAAGCATATACAAATTGGAGGGATACAAGATGAAGGCTAGAGTGTACTGTCTTCAGCTTTAGAGTAGAGCAGATAGACAAATACAAAAGGTTATTATAATGTTACTGAAAAGTACTATGAAAATGGGGCACCTGAGTGGCTTAGTCAGTTAAATGTCTAACTCTTGATTTAAGCTCAGGTCATGATCTCAGGGTTATGAGACTGAGCCCCATGTCAAGCTCCATGTTTGGCAAGGAGTCTGCTTGAGATTCTCTCTTTCCCTTTCCCTCTGTCCCTTCCTCCTTTTGTACTCTCTCCCTTTCTTTCAATAAATAAATAAAATCTTTTTAAAAAGTACTATGATAGAGATCTATTTAAGAAAGTAGTCACATACCTGGATTCAACACATACTTGTTATTTTAGATCTATCGGCAGAATTAGTTGAAAGAACCGATATTGTTAAGGTATTTTAATCAATGAGCAACTTTCTCTGCTCTAGGCACTTGAATTAATTCATCAAATAAGTGTAATAATTATATGAGATATCTACCTCTACCCTACTTTCAAATAATAAAAGAAAGGCAGAGAAATTTAAGAAATTGACAAAATTAAGCATCTATTAAGTTGTAGAGTCAGGATATAAACTCATACAATCTGGACCTTGAGTCTGTGTTTCTGACTTCTTTGAACTATATTATTTGTGATTATTCACTCCTCAGCTTGCAAGAAGATTCTTATTGCTCTATGACTTGTAGCATCTTTCTGTAAGGGAAGGATTCTTTCCTTCGCCAAGGTCAGGCTTAACCACATGGCTTGTTTTGGTCAAAGAAGTATGAAGAGACTTAACATTATAGCAGTTCAAAGCAAAGATCCAAGAGATGTTGTATATTTCTTCCCACTTCCTTGCCTTTTACCTCAGTCACAGCATGGCACATCCCAGAGAATACTGTTCCCTTAGTCTGAGTTCTGAAATAAGACAGTAAGTAGAGCACAGCCACAGCCTGTCCTCACTACTGACATGGAACATGAGTGAGACACACTGTTGCTGCAAGCCACATGCATTGTTTTTGTTGTTTTTTAAGAGCAGAATAACCTAGCGAAAACTGACCAGTATAATAAAACTTACCAAGAAGTAAGTGTGCTAGTAACAAACACCCTAAAATATGTGATATCGTGGTCAGGGGAATAGCACTGAAGAAACTATCACTGGGATTGGGAAAATACAACTCGTGTTCTACAGTGGCACACATTTGTTACCTTAGTTGAAAAGACTGGGAGTTAGAATGATAGTAAGTATTGGTACTGACTGCATTTTAAAGGTTATAAAAGTAATTGTTGCTTTGTAAAAATAAAGGAATCGAAACAATTTGGAATTATAAGATATACAAGGTTGAAAAATGCAACTATTGCCCGTATTCAACCAGTAAAAGATACCTTGAAAATTGCTTTGACTAAGAAACATTGAAGGAGACCCTAATTAAGACTCTTCCTCAAACAAAGACCAGATAAAAGGTTAGTGAATTCTTCTTAATGAATTGAGGTGTACCAGTAAATTCCATCAGTTGGATAAAATATATCAGAACAAACAGATTAAGGGCATGGCTTTCCATGAGCCTGATAAGCTCTAAGTACTGGCAGTAAGTTTACAGAAAGAGAGAGATACATCTCCAAGATATGTGGCATTTTAAGATACAATTTGTAAGTCCAAGAGGATGAGTTATATTCTTTGTCTAAACTTGGTGATTTACTTGGAATCATCAATGTTCAGCTTAAATGTTTCCTGCTTGCAATTAGGTACTCCTCTACCACACCTCCCTCTGATCCCCAGCTTATATTTATTAAGATGATTTTCACTCTGCATCTGACTCTTTCCCTCCTCAAGTCTATGAATTCACAATGAGTTTGACAGGAGCTTTTAGCTTTTTATTAGATACACATGCAAAAGAAATACGATAAATATTTGATAAATGAATAACAGAGAATGAATATACTTGTTGATGTAGCAAGGTTATCTAACAAACTACAATACTCCCAAATCAGCATGATAAACTGTTTCTAAAAGTCGAAATTCTGCCTGATTCTTTGCTATGCTAAAAAAAAAAAATCAGATCTTTGGAGTTGGAGACTTAACACATAATAAAAGTGTACTACATAAATATGATCTAAAAGACAACATTCTTTACATACAGTCTCAGGAAACGTTAAAGAAATTTTTGTTATTTCTCATACAAAGTAAAATTTATAATATTAGTCCTAGACAAAAATCAAGTCAATTAATCACAGAACATTACAATTTAAACTCATTTAGGCAGTTCATAAATACACTCCCTAAATATCACCCTAAAAAAAATGCCAAGACATATTTCCATTATTTGGGCCTCATTATTTTAGAAGAATACACAATTCTTTGGTAAGCATGTTATGTTGGTTCTGTCTATTCTTAAATTTTATTTATTTTTTTAAAGATGTATTTGTTTATTTTAGAGAGAGAATGTGTTGGAGGAGTGGAGGGAGAGAATCTTCAAGCAGACTCTCCACTGAGCACGGAGCAGATGACATCAGGACCCTGAGATCACAACCTGAGCCAAAATCAAAAGCCAGCCACCCAACCGACTGAGCCACCCAGGCACCCCTCTTAAGTTTTATTTTTAAGTGCATCCAATAGAAAACACAAGGAAATTATTTGAAAATACATACCTGGCGACACCAGAGTTTACGAAATATTTGCAAGTAGGCCAACACCATAAGACACAGTGGTGCCATGTATGTCACCAGAAAGAAACAAATATGATACATCTTGGGGTAAATTTCACCTGGAATGAAAGCCAAAATAATAAAATCTTGTTTTATAATTCACAGATTTTTTTAAAGGTATGTCTTTCCATGTTTTGCCTTAAAGTACACATTTAACTTATGATTCTATGATATGATATATGATATGTATGATTTCACTGGCATATTATACACACACACACGCAAATACTGTAATATCATATTAACTGCTTACACTTAGTATACACATACACACTAAATGTGAAGTCTTAATTTTATTTAATGTACTCAGAGAAGAATAACAATTAGCCATTTCTTAATTTGTGCTATCATAGGCTATCCAAAGTCAAGATTTCATTTATCAAAAAGAATTTTTCTGTCTGATTATCTCTGGCTAATTACAAAAAATTAATTTGGATTGGGCTACACTTGAAATTGCAATAAGAAACAAGATAATCTAACCTAATTGTTAATGCTTTTGGGAAAAGAATATAAACTGAGTTGATTTCCTTATTAGAATGTAAGTTTCCTGAGAAATGGGAAGCTATTCCCAGTTGTACCTCCATATACAAATGTGGAAAAATTTTGGAAAAATAAACACAGTGAACATTTAATGGTTCTTTTTGTTGATTACTATAACAATATAAAATTTCTCTTTCACTATGTTGTCTTTATACATAAGTATGTATGCATGTACTTTTAATAAGAAATGTTATTTTTAGGGTTTTTTAAAGTTAACTTTTCAACAATTATGGTGTTTTTTTTTTTAATATTCACCTCATTTACTTAGTCATAAGCACCTCAGTATTGTAGTGATTTCTTATCATTAAGTCTATGTACAGAGGTGATACATATCATAGATTAGTTATTTATTCAAGAGTCAATCATTCAATTAAGTAATAACATTGTGACTTAATATAAATTTTTTGACTTTTTAAAATTTATTTGTTACTGACTTTTAATTATTTTTATTCATTATTTTAAAGATTTTATTTTTAAGTAATCTCTACACCCAATATGGAGCTCAAATTCACAACCCTGAGATCAAGAGTCACATGCTCCACTGACTGAGCCAGCCAGGTCCCCCTACTGACATTTTAAATGCTTTCAAGGATATTTTTCCTATACTAGTATTTGAATATATCACAGTGATCCAGCTACTTTTACTTAAATGCAAAACAGGAAACAGAATAAATCCTACATGGATTTCATGGATATTAAAGGCCATAATTTGATATCATTCCAATTGCTAACAAAGAAAAGTCTTTTTTTTTTTCCTACTTCTAAGAATTAAGCAACTGAATATGACTTTGATGTTGGCAATTAGGTTAGTTCCACACGATTACTGAGATACCACGCTATCAGCTCCATGCATTTTATTTTTTTCACTGCTTCAGAAAGGGCATATAGAACCATGAAGACTCAGTTATGTGATCAAATGTAGTAAGGGCAATTTATATTCAGGATTAACCAATAATAACTATGAAGATGACCACAGTAATCGATAAGTTTATCGGTGTATTTTAAGTATATCTATGAGTTGAATATCCTCCACAGTCTTGAGTTCATAACCTTATCCTGCTTAGTTAAGTTTAGTTGAGTTGGTTGATTTTAACATTTTCCTTAGTGTTCCTTCTAAAACCCTGTATTTATCTGGTCAATATTTTTCTTCACTGTTATCTCCAGAGACGCCAGCAGGGTGCCTGTGCTAGCTGGAAGGTCTAAGAGATGGATTTGGGGCATCAGTTTTAGCTCCTCTGTTGCCCAAGTGGCCCACACCTAGCTCTTCAGTTTCTAACTTCCTTTCAAGTTTATCCTGTACAACAGACCAGTGACAAAAAAAGCGATAGAATCTAAGCAGCCTGACGGGAGGAATGACAGCCTTCCCTTCAAGGGCTGCAGCCTGAGCAGCCTTCCATAACCCCATTTCCAAGGAGCTGGGGGATGACTTCAGCACTTCCCAGACACCTGAGTGTGAAGAAGGTGTCCCATGACATCCCCACATAAAAATACAGCTTTGAAGCCGACATACCCGTGAAGCCCTGATGTTGCTACCTCAGACTAAACTGAGAGAGTAGAGGGGGATAGATTTAGTAGGTTTGAGAGGGCATACTCTTCTTTTTTAATTGTAGCTATGGATACCTTCACTGTGGTAACAGTTTGGGTTTTATACAGCTGTGAGAGAAAGCTCATTCTGCTGTCAGTATATTTATAAACAGTCGGTAAAATATGTAATTGGCTGGCAAATGTGTATTATGATAATGAGCACCCACACAGAAAAATTGATCAAGTGAAATTACACTTGCAGGCTGGGATTGAATGTTTTAATAAAGAGATAATTGGGGAAACACGATAGTCTTAGCATTCTTCATTTCATGCTTACAGTCTAAGCTAATTAAAAAACCAGAAATGTCATTGGAATTTTAAGTTATAAGTTTTGAAGCAATCTTTGCAGTCTCTCTGCACTTGATGAACAATGTCTTGAATATTTTTAAGACACTTATATATAACCTAGAATGTAGTGACAGGAAATTTGTTCCACTTAAGCATTCATACTATAAAACCACATTTTAAAGACTGACAATCATTCAAAGTTGGTGTCTCTACTCAACTGATAAATAGACACAATATAATAAATTCTTGCATATATATCAAACAAATAAATAAGGAGAAAATGTGGATCTTTATTTAGTCACTGAAGTCAGAGAGTAAAGAATAATATCGTATATTAATAAGACAAGAATTAATCTCAGATAAGTTAGGTCCATTATTGAAAAAACTTGTTAATCTCATTATCCAAAAAACGACAAACATTTTCTCTTTCATGTTACATACATTAGGGACTCAATGGCTGAGTAAATTAATTTCCCAAATATTCAATATAAACTATCTTTTCAAAGTTTATAGATCCATTAAAGTTTACCTGAATTTTTAATATATTTTACTATCTTCTCTCTAATAAATATTTTCCATAAATGTGTATATATTTCAAAATCTTATTATAGGCCAGATGCTATAATTAGTTTGACTATAAAGAAGGGCTCCATTACTATTTCTTTCAGACCACCAAAGAACAATTCAGCAGCTCCAAGAAAGATTATGAACTCTGGTGTCTAGAAAAATGTTTGGCTAACAGCATATGCTCATTAAACATTGGATGACTGGTAAGACAATTATATATTAAGTGCAAAAACAAAGTTACTTTCCTTCCAATAGGAACTATTCTGTAAAACTATGCATTTGCAAATCAAGTAATCAAAGAACTATGGCTATAATTCTGGAATAATTTTAATATTTTGGAAGTGAGAATTAATGTAACACATACCAAGACATACTTTAAAGATCATTAAAATAAATATTAACACATTTATTTGTTTTTGAGTTATCAAGTGTGTCTGCTGGAACTTGGGGTTTGTGGTATTTTTTTTTTTTTTGAATAAGCCATAGGGAATAATAAAGATAATGAGTTGCAGAAATAATTTATTGACAAAATATCAAATATTTCTGGTAATATTTTCAGTAAAACTAAGAAAGAGTTCTTAGTTATTTTGTACCATGAGCGAGATAGCATTTGCAAGGCTTTCCTAAAAGTATTTTGATGGATATAGATCAAATGACCACATGACTACATCCGTGCTGGAATATATTGGCTCTAGGACAATTACAATATCATCATCTGTTTCTATAACTGTGTTACTGATTTAACTTAGGATAAAAATAAGAAATATAATTCATGAATTAATCTCAAATAAAACATATTTCACAACAAATTTTTTAAAATTGGGCTAAATGTTTTTGACTGGAAAGATGTTTGAACTCCAAGAGCCAACACTGTAAAAGGTAATTTCCTATGGACTTTTTAGGTTGTGACTATCACACACATGTCCAAATTTAAACGTTTTAAACTGAATGTGAACTTCTAAATAGTCTATATAAACAAAGTTTATACTATGTAAAAATCATTATAATAAACAGTCTAATGATCAAAATGGGAAGAACCTGCTTTAATTCTTTCATATTCTTGAAAACATTAAGTGATTAACAACTTCATTTAATATTCAAAAAGTTAATTTCAGAAATTTCATTGTTTGATTTTGTGGATGATATACTCAACTTCGTATTGCTTAATTTAAACCTTTATAATCATGTTAAGTAATTGTGGGCTAATACAAAATCATTTTCAAATAGTTTTCCTCAATAACTTCTGAAGGCTGAGTTTAGATTTTAAACAGTAGGTGCTCCTGGGTGGCTCACTAAGTTAAGTGACAAACACCTGTTTGAGTCCCCTATCCAGCTCTGTGCTCAGCATGGAGCTGTTTGAGATTCTCTCTCCTCCCTCTGCCCCTGCCCCTGCTTGTGCTGTCTCTCTGTCACTAAATAAATAGAATACATAAAATTTTTAACAAAAAAACAAACAAATAAATACTCAATAGTAGTTGCTGGCTTTTTTAAGAAAATGTCATTGTTACAGCTAGATAATAAAATGCTAAACATTGAAATGTTTTAGATATTTATATTTTTGCTCAAAGTAATTAGAAAATGATATGGTTATTGATTTAATCAGAATGACTGACAGGATTCCCTAGCTCTGCAATCATTTTTGGTAATGAAGGTGAATGCTACTTGATTATTCAGGGCAACATAGAAGGAAAGAAGGAAAGAAAGAAAGAAAGAAAGAAGAGAAAGGGAGGGAGGAAGGAAGGAAGAAAAAGGAAGAAGAAGGAAGGAAGGAAGGAAGGAAGGAAGGAAGGAAACAAGGAAGGAAAAAAGCAAGAAAGCAAACAAAAAAAAAGGTTATAGAAAGAGTCCACAAACTTATCAACTAATTATCAAAATATTTCAGAGAAAATACTACTGATACAGGTTAAATCATAGGTGGATGTTTTAATCTATCATTTTCATAAACTTAAAGGATGCAAATTTTGAGTTGGAAGCTTAATTTTAAATATACTTCTTTGCTTCATAATCTGTAAATAATTTATGGCTCAATTTCATCATTAATTAACTAACACATTTTGATCGAGAGATCTTTAGGCTGCTTTCCAGACAGAACTCATTGGATAAGAATTGCATAAGACATGTCACAATTGGTCCCCAAACAACCTTCTTTCCAAACACAGTTCATTAGGCTGCATATCCCTACATGACAGAAATTAGAGGTTTGGATCCTCTTTTCTTCTTCAAGGGATAGTGTTCATTTTATGGGTTTTCTTGCTTCCTGGACATCCTTTCCTTTCTTCCCCATCTGGAGAATTTCTCCTCATCTTTAATTCTTTGCTGAAATGTTGGCAGCTTCTTTGTAAACTTTTGTTCACATGGCCAGGACTGAGCTTGTTCTCATATTTGTGTTCCTAGCACTTTGTACACCAGTATATTAAAATACTAATCACACCATAAACATGTGTTTATTTGCCTTTCAGTCTCATTACATGGAATGTGTTCCCCTAGGCAGAATCTATTTCTTTCCAGGTTGGCATAATTCCTGGCATATCCTAAGTGCTCAAGATGTTATTTGAACATTAAATAAATGGGACTTAAGACTCTTACGAAATACTCTTACCATTTTGGAATTTTCCATTTGTTTTGTTTTTTTTTTTTCTACACCACTAATGGGGAAAAGATGAAGAAGATCCAGAGAAAATACAGCAAGTGAATTGCTAATTAGTTTTTGGGATAAGAGACACAGTAAATTGTGACATTTTAGTTAATGTTAAGACTTGGGATAATATATGAAAAATAATCCCAGGGTTGTTTAAATTTTATCTTGTCGTCAAACATATGCCTTATTTTTCAGTTTGTGCCTTTTTGTTTTTCATTGTTTCAAATCAAAGTATCAATGTAGGAGTTCATATAAATTCAAAGAGTCAAATACTCAAAAATACCAGATCTATAATCAATCCCTGGGGCATACTGCTTTTGTTAATACATTTTTTAATAAGCATAAATGTGCATCTGGCAAATAAAAAATTCTTTCCTAATGTCTAAATTCTCTGACTATGAGCCATTGATATACACTTATCCAGATGAAGACATATCATTTTCCTCAAATTTAATGTAATAATTTTGTAACTAGTACATGACATACTCAAATGCAGGATTAGTTGATTTCCTGTCATTCTTTGCTGTGTCCAGGTTTGTGCCATCATTAGGCATTGAAAGAAGTGTTTCCACTATTACAAAAACCTCAAAGGCTGTCACTGAGAGTTTTGAACCAAAGGAACATAAGACCTCCAAACTTTTGCTTGTTTAAATTTAATTACCATATATAACAGACTGGGAAACAAAGAAGATTCATAAGTAATATAATTCTTAAATCAGAAAACAATTATGTCAGTGATATAATTTATCATCTTAATATGTTACAAATAAACATATCATATGGAGATAATCTGACTTAGAGAAGAGCACAGGTCCACATACTCAACTCCAGTCAGGTTCCCAGGCAGGACATGGGTTTAAAATGAAAATTCCCAGTTGTATCTGAAGCCCATTAAGGAACTTGACACTCTTCCTGTCTTGTAAATGTTAATTATTCCAGAATACATATTTGGATCATATAAAGGAGCTTTTGTTTTGTTTTAGAGAATTTAAGAAAAGCTGACATAATCAAATCTGAGTTATAGGAAAAACCCTTCCTTTCATTCCCTATTTGAAAAATATGAAAACCAGCTAACTACATAGTATTTCCAAAGGACCTAGTAGGCAGACCTAATCTGTGAAACTGTTGGTTTTCATGCTTTTGTAAAACGATATAAACAGGTGTCAATAAAATGCACAAGGCCAGCTTTATAATGGCCATGGGAACAATACTTTTAGTTGCACTTTTGTCAGTTTATGGACCATAATGTACTCACCACCCCAGCGCTCATCGCACACTGTAAAGAGAGTGGTTTTATTGGCTAAGCCGGGGAGCATGGTGCTGCACTCCATGACGATGGCCTGAGGAATCATTATAATGCAGGAGACGATCCAGATGATGACAATGCTGTTCCTGGCCCTCTTGGCTGTGCTCTTAAACATCAAAGGATGACAGATTGCATACCATCGATCCAAGGCAATGCAGCTCAGTGTGAGGACAGACACTGACACTGACACAGTCTAGAGAGGAAAAGAACATAGAACAAGAGAAGCCCTTGGTGTTAAATGGATCATTCTTAATATACTTATCGTAGTAGAGAAAGGGTCACACAGATAATCAGGTTCAAAGTTGTGAGAAAATATTTCATGTAAGGATTTTTAATAAATAATAATATTAAAAATATATTAGGTAAAGCAGCTTTCTTATTAAACATGATAAAGGTGTTATGAAAACATTGCAATCATTTTATGCTAAATGTGTTATATGACATGTCTTGCTTTTAAAATATCATATAGAAATTTGATTGCAGTGCATTTAATGAGCATTTTTTAAAAATTATGGATACCTCAGTCTATATTTTCAAATAACAAAAGTTATTTGTACATTGGTTCATTTCAAGCATGTTGTACCCATAGGCAAGTATTATGTTAGAAGCAAATTCTGTACGGATCTCCTCACCAGAGTTTGCTTATTGTTGGTGTGAACAACTGTCCTCTAAAACTCAAATAGGTTCATCTAGTCCAGATTTCCATAATTAATGCCATCATAAGTGGTACTTTAACTTGGAGCTTTAAGGAAATAGTAAAGACAACATGGTAAGCATGCCTATACCCACATGATCAGTTTATGTAATTATATGCAATATGTACTCCTAAATGGATGAACCACTGATTCCAGTATCACTCTCAAAATCCCATCTCTAAAAAGAAACCTCATTCCCTTTTCTTTTCTTCTCAGTACTTACAATAAGTATTATGTGATATAGTACAGTTATTTTCATTTAATTAATTTATTATCTGTCTTCTCTATTGGAACAAAGCTCTGTGGCAGGAAGGACTGCTCCTGTTTTTGTTTATTTTCACAACCTTGTCTCCATACCTACTTGCACAATGTTTGATGTGCTTAGTTTTTTTTTTTAACTTAAGAAATAGTTATAAGCCTCAATCTAAAGTAATAAATGTGCTCTGGTCCTTTTTCTCATATTTCTGTCCTGGTTGTATTGATCCCACCCTGTGTGGAAGGTGAGCCATCTCTATTTCTTACCTCAGGACCTTCTTTGTGGACGCATTGACTTCCAGTGCATATGACTGAAAAGGATCTAAGAGCCTGGGCAGTACAGGAGAAAAGTCTCTTGGCTAATAGTCAGGATGGCCAATCTGTTTTCCCTCTCCCACCATCTAGTTGTGCAGTGTTGGATTACCCATTTTATCGTGTTTTTTTTTTTTAAGATTTATTTATTTATTTGAGAGAGAGAGAAAGAGCACACATGTGTGTGCAACAGACAGGAGGCAGAGGGAGAGAATCTCAAGCAGACTCCCCGCTGAGCCCAGAGCCTGATATGGGGCTCAATCTCATAACCCATGAGATCATGACCTGAACAGAAATCACGAGTTGGGCACTTAACCGACTGAGCAACCGAGGCACCCCACCCATTTTACAGTTGTAAGCACATGTGTTGTTATTTTTTTCTGTTAAGTGAGTGAAACTTATAGGATACAATTCTTGTTACTCTGATTCTTTTGATTCTTTCTGGAAAAGGCAGTATAGTTTGAAATCAATTCTGCAACCAGGTTTCCTGAGTATGAATCCAATCTCACTTGATAAATGTATGATCTTGGCCAAGTTCCTTAACCTCTCTATACTATAGTTTTCTCATCTGTAAAACTGGATGATAATAGTGCCCAACCGTGGAATTACAGGGAGAGTAGTTGAGATGTGAAATGCCTAGCCCTGGTCTGTCCCATAAATGCTGTGTAAGTGGTAGTTATTACTTATTATGATTATGGCAGTGATTATGGTGATTATACTATTAGTTTTCTCTTCCATTCTCAAGCTTAGCAGTCTAGCTTTTAATTGGAACAGGCTGCTTTTTAGTGAGGAAAAAAAATCACGGAAATTATAAGTAAAAGCCTAAACTAGACTACATTATTGAAGGTTTAATTGCATTTTAAATGTAACTCTAAAGGCTGAACTCTATCAGAGAAAGTTTAGATTGGTTGATGACTCCTGAGAATTATCTGGTCCACCTTAGAGCTAATTCAAGTGTCCTTCTTAAACCAACCACTTTGCCTCCCAACTCTCATTTTTTCCCTTGCAAATATGCCAAGCACCCAGGGACCCCAATACTATTGGTAACTTGGGAATAGAACCCGTGGTACTTTAGATCTGCACAGCTGACCTTTCCTTGTTTCTGGGCTAGGGCTATACTTATCCCATTTAGCTATCAGAAGGGTAAAATGCTCAATAAGACTTAGTGATTTATCATTCATGAATTCTAATCAACATAAGTAAATGCGATAGAAATAACATGATTCAAGTTAAAAAATCATTTCTAGTATTTTCCTTTACTATTAAATAGTAATAATTAATTAAAAAATAGTTCACTTGAAAGACTGCCATCCAGTCAACCAAGGAACAGTCATCTGTTACATGAGAGAATATGCTGTTAATCTAACAGTGGGATCCATTGAATGGACCCTTGGCAATTGATGATTTAATATTCACTGTTTGACTACTGTATTTGCTGGTGCATAATACATACCAGCATCCAATTAACAACATTTTCTTGGGAGAGTATATAAAGTTGCATCTTATCCCGAGTGATTACAAATGAGTTTCTTACTGCTTTCACTTCTGGGAATGTACTTCTGTGTGCCTTTTTCACTTAGAATTTGATATTAGCTTAAATCAACTGGGTACCAAATCATTTGAGAATGAATCCAGTGGAGAGTATGAATGTTATAAATTAGGTGGGATAAGATGATGTGAATGTCTGCTATAGGTGCTCGACCTTTTATCCATACTATGGGCACTCTGTAGTCAGGGGAATGCTGGAGACTTGTTCCAGTAAATGATGAGTCTGTTCTATGCTAGCATATAGCTATGACAAAAGACCTCAAAGATCTATGGCAAGTAGAAATGGAAATTCAGGGGCACCTGGCTGACTCAGTCGGTATAGCATGAGACTCTTGATCTCTGGGTTGTGAGTTTAAGCCCCACATTGAGTATAGAGATTACATTAAAAATTTTTAAACTCCCCTGGGGATAAAAATATATTATATGTTTATAAAAAAATTTTTAAAAAGCATAAAAATTTTAAACTAAAGAAGAAGAGAGAGAGAGAAAGAAAAAAAAAAGAAATAAATTTTGTTATATCACAGATCTGGATAGAGGGACTGATAGGCTGGAAGGTGAAAAAGTGTTACTGAGAGTGAAGGAACCCTATTCCACCACCTATCACCCACCATCTCCATCTGAGGTGGCTTTTTGTTCTTTTCCTGACATTGCCTATGCAGAGCTTCTTCTGCAATTGAAAAAAAAAAAAAAAAGAAGTCACTCTAAAAAAGTAGCCAACTGCTCCTATAAGTGTGAGAAGAAAAATGAAACATGTCTTAATTTTCTAAGAAATTTATGTTAATTATATGATACACAGCCCAGTTAATGTTAATAGTCTTAGATTTACGGAGTTACTAAAGATACAAAAGCGTCATTTGAATTATTCAGCAAAGCTTTATTACATTTGTGAGATTTTTAAGATTTTTGAGCATTTTGAGAAGTGTTATTATATATCAGTCATAAACCTAAAGGTTTCTTTATATTGTATTTAGAAGAAAAAGGACATATAAGTCATAGAAAATTAATACATGTCCTAAGAATAACAAACATAACAGAATAACCTTAAAATCTGGCTGGATAAACACTTTTGTGATATGTTTTTAAACATTCAATGGGACATAAGTTTCATATCAGAGACTGATATGAAACTGAAACATCAGTTTCAGAATATCACAACTAAGGGAAAACAACTATTCAAATTCGAATGAACAGCTTATTGTCCATTGATACTGTTCATTCCATTTGGGGAAATTCTATGGAAAATGGGCAATAAATGTTGAGAGAATTTGAAGATATTAGTTTTACCAGGGCACCAAGTTTTTTGTGCATATATAATTTTTCATCAAGAAGTAGTGCTGAATGAGGTAATGACTGGGTCTAGTCTTTTTCACTTGACTTACATCTTGTAGTTACTCTGTAGTTTTCCTTGGCCTATGGAGGAGAGAATCAGTTGAGGTCTTGACTAGACAGGACACGATCTATAGAGAAGCTAACAAAATCTCTCAGGAAAAGAAGATGTTTCATCACTGTAGGACTTGTTAATAAGTTGTGCTAAATGAAATAGTACTATCAATAATTTTAAGAGGGACCCATGTCCTGCATCACTTACTGGATACACACTACATCCAGACGGTCCTTGAGTGTTCACAGAAGAGTCTGGAATACCTGGTCTAAAAGAAGTTATCATGTACATTAGAGCAGGACTGTACCTACTACAGGAAGATCCACTCCTCCCTCATCACCCCACTGTTCATTGAGGAATCTTCTAGTTTGTAGAGAGAGCATAAAGTATTCTCGCTCGGCCAGTGGAAGAGTCCGGAAAACAGCAGGTATCTTGAAACTTAAGAGGATCCCTCAAATTTTCCCCTGGGTGGTTATTAAAACCAAGAGATGGTAAAATATTAGAATTCTGGGTTATTTGTAATGTCATCTACGTCTCTACACAAAACTGTAAGACTAATTTGTTACTGATTTTTAAAAAACAAGGATACTTTTCTCTGTTGCTCAATGTACTACTTATCTCAAAACAGAAAAAGTTACTGAAATTTATTTTTGTAACATATTCATGGTTTTCATCTGATTGACACAAACTAACCTTTTAGCTAATGTTTGCAATAAAGCTTACAATGTCCATGGCATTTTACACTTGCTATTCTGTCAATGATGTCTAAACTTATCTAAAAGATTATCACTTTTCTTTATGAGGTTATTGAAAAACTATTGAGCTAAAGATCTCTTCAAAACACTTCAGATCCAAAGGCATAAATGAAACAAGATGGGATCCGGAGGGAGAGAAACCATAAGAGACTCTTAATCTCACAAAACAAACTGAGGATTGCTGGGGAGAGGGGGTAGGGAGAGGGTGGTTGGGTTATGGACATAGGGGAAGGTATGTGCTATGGTGAGTGCTGTGAAGTGTGTAAACCTGGCAATTCACAGACCTGTACCCCTGGGGCTAATAATACTTTATATGTTAATAAAAAATAAAAAATTATAAAAAATTAAAAACTTTAAAAAATAATAAAAAAAACCTTAAAAAAAATTTCAGATCCAAAAGCTTAATCAACATAATTTCTAGCAATGGGTTATTTATGTCTCCCCCAACTTTTGTTTTTAATTAAAACTTTATTTTGGGGCTAAATTTAAGATCACAGCAAAATTGAGGAGAAGGTACAGAGATTTCCTATACATTCCCTATCTGTCCCATTATCAACATCCCTCCACCAGAGTGGTACATCTGTTACAACCGATGAACCAACACTGACACCATCATCACAAGAAGCCCATAGTTTATATTTTGGTTCACTCTTAGTGGTGTACATTCTATGCATTTAGAAAAATGTATAATGACATGTATCCACAATTACACTATCATATCACAATCTTCTGTGCTCATCTCTGGCAACCATTTATCTTTTTTCTCTCTCTAGTTTTGTCTTTTTCAGAATGTCATATTATAGAAATCATGTAACATATAGTCTTCTCAGGTTCTTTTACTTAGTAATACACATTTGAGTTCCCACATGTCTTTTCATGGCTGGGCAGTTCATTTTAGTGCTGAATAATATTCTACCTGGATGTCTGGATGTACAACACTTAATTTATCCATTCACCTACTGAAGGACATCTTGTTTGCATCCCAGTTTTGGTGATTGTGAATAAAACTGCTATAAACATTTGTATGCAAGTTTTTGTGTAGATGTAAGTTTTCAACTCCTTTGGGTTAATACCAAGGAATGCAACTGTTGATCATATGAAGAGTATGTATAGTTTTATAGGAAACTCCCAGAGTGTGTATCAAAGTGCTGTACCATCAGCAGTAAATGAGAGCTCCTAGTGCTCCATATTCTCACCAGCATTTGGTGTTATCAGAGTTCTAGAATCTGGCCATTCTAATTGGTATATAGTGGTATTTCTTTGTTGTTTTAATTTGCATTTTGCTGATGAGGTATGTGAGGAACATCTTTTCACATACTTCTTTGCCATCTGTATATCTTATTTGATGAAGTTCTGTTAAGATCTTAAGGGCCATTTTTTTAAAAATTGGGTTATTTGTTTCCTTATTGTTGAGTTTTAAGTGTTCTTTGTATATTTTGTATTTCAGTCCTTTATTATATGTATCTTTTGAAAATATTTTTTTCTGGGTCTCTGTCTTCCCATTCTCTGGTCTTTCACAGAGTAGAAGTTTTTAATTTTAGTGAAGTTGGCTTATCAATTATTTCTTTCAAGGTACATGCCTTTGGTATCGTATCTAAAAAGTCATTAATATAACCCAAATCATCTAGGTTTTCTTCTTTGTTATCTTATAGGAGTTTTATAGTTTTACAATTTATACTCAGGTCTACAATCCATTCTGAGTTAATTTTTGTGAAGAATGTAAGGTCTGTATCTGATTTTGTTGTTGTTGTTGTTGTTGGCATGTCCAATTGTTCTACCTGCACCAATTTTTCATTATTGGCAGCATATTTTCATCCCTTCCAAATACTGTGATCACCATCTGGGAACTGGATGGAGTAGGGAATGAGGGGTGGAGGATGGTTACAAGAAGACAAGTGGAGAATGGCACAATCTCATTCACTGTCCAGTTGCTAAAGAGAATCCATCTCTTTGAGGGATGTGATTGTGTTCACTAGTTTGAAAACATTTCACTTTCAAAAATTTTTAGAGCTATCAGAATATCCATCACAAAATTATTCTCTGAAAGTATTTGTTCTCAAATTTTTTATGGTACGATTCATTATCATCCTTCTTTAATAATTGAATCACAAAGAACTTATGTATTTGTCTTGATGGCATACATTCAATAAAGCAGAACAGAGATTCCAAACCTGGTAGTATAATTTAGAACCAACACTAAAATCTGTTTACTGTATTTGCTTTGATCACATAGCTTTAATTTCTCAGTGTGAAACAAAACCACTTATAAAAATAGACAGAACTTGCTTATTTGAATGAGAAGAGCCTTAATCATTAATTTGTTCAATTTCCTCATTTTACAATGGAAAAATTAGACATCAAAGAAATAAAAGGGTTGTTCAGCATCTAATGACTTGAGGATTCTGTTGCTTTATCTTTTTTTACCCAGAACTTAACTTATTTACCCCAAAATATCAAGTATTACTTTTCTCAACTTTGCTAATTCTGTAAGCAAGTGTATTTGTCTCTTAGCTCACTAGTTAACCTAAAAGATGATTACAAGTGAAAATACTTTTCAATATTTAATAGAAAATACTTTTTCAGTAACTTCTGTGTTTGGATAAAAAGAAGTGTGAAAAACAATTACCTGTAAATATGGAATAACTTTACAGAGGGACTGTCCAAAGAACCAGGTCTCAGTGATGTCTACCACCAATGTGGCTGGGAGGCAGGTAATTGTCACGAGCACATCAGCCAGAGAAAGGTTGACTATGAAGTAGTTGGTTACCGTCCTCATGTGGTGGTTCTTCCACACTGCCACACAAACTAATTTGGGGGGGAAAAAGAATAGTTACTATTAAGGACTAAATATTCATATCCTCACAAAATTCATATGTTGAAATCTTAACACCCTGTATGATGGTATTAAGAGGTGGGTTTTTGGAGGTGAATAGATCATCATGGTAGAGCCCTCAAGAATGGGATTAGTGGGGCGCCTGAGTGGCTCAGTGGGTTAAGCCTCTGCCTTCAGCTCAGGTCATTATCTCAGGGGCATGGGATCAAGCCCCACATCAGGCTCTCTGCTCAGCAGGGAGCCTGCTTCCCCCTCTCTCTCTGCCTGCCTCTCTGCCTACTTGTGATCTCTCTCTCTCTGTCAAATAAATAAAATAAAAAATAAAATCTTAAAAAAAAAAAGAATGGATTAGTGTCCTTATAAAAGGGACTTCAGAGAGATCCTCTGATTCTCCCACTTCTTGAGGACAAAGTGAAAAAACTGTTGGCTATGAACCAAGAAATTGACCCTCACCAGACACTGAATCTGCCACATCCTTGATCTTGGACTTCTCAGATTCCAGAATTGTAAGAATTAAATTTATGTGGCTTAAAAGCCACCTAGTATGTGGTATTCTGTTATAGCAGCCCAAATAGACCAAGACAGTAACTATACAAAGAAAATAGGTACTGATCCTGTAAAGAGCACAAATAACTGTTGAAAAAGGAAGATGATGTAAGACTATACTGTTTTCATTGAATCAGTCAGTCTGTGTGAATGTCGAATCCATGCTTAACATCAGTTCATTTACCTTACAAGACATTTCTCAATGTATCATAATACTGCATTCATTTCTACTTGATTTTGAATTGTGATTCCCAGAAGTTTAAGAATGATCTTTGATTCTTTTTTCTATTCCCTCAGTGCTCAGCTTGTAGTAGAGACATAAGAAATATTTACTGAAGTGAGATGAATTAGGAGCCAGCTATTTTCAATGAACTGCAATATTTGCCTCAACCACGATGTTTACCCCATCTGTCCCAAACTCTGCATTTGGATCTTTTAACTGATGAAGAGGTTTAAAAGATAAAAGCCAACATTTTTTCAGCTCCTATTATTGGCAAACACTGGTCTATATGGTTCATATCCTTAAGTCATTTAATCTTGATAATCCCAAGGGAAGACATTGTTACCATCATTTTATACATGCAGTAATTGAGACACAGGGAATTTGTGCAGCTTGGCTAGGGACAAATGGCTCATATAACACAGAACTACAGCTATAACTGGGATTAAACACCAAGTAAGGGTTATATTTTTGTTGGGGGGGGTGAACTAGTTAGAACAAAGCACCCATAAACTCTAGAGACTCAGTCCTCTTTCCTCTCTATTACTCTTTTTTAAAAATTTTTTATTTTTTTAATTTTCTATAAACATATAATGTATTTTTATCCCCAAGGGCACAGGTCTGTGAGTCGCCAGGTTTACACACTTCACAGCACTCACCATAGCACATACCCTCCCCAATATCCATAACCCCACCCCCTCTCCCAAACCCCCTCCCTTCAACAACCCTCAGTTTGTTTTGTGAGATTAAGAGTCACTTATGGTTTGTCTCCCTCCCAATCCCATCTTGTTTCATTCATTCTTCTCCTACCCCCTTAACCCCCTGTGTTGCATCTCCACTTCCTCATATCAGGGAGATCATATGATAGTTGTCTTTCTCCGATTGACTTATTTCGCTAAGCATGATACCCTCTAGTTCCATCCACGTCGTCACAAATGGCAAGATTTCATTTCTTTTGATGGCTGCATAGTATTCCATTGTGTATATATACCACATCTTCTTTATCCATTCATCTGTTGATGGACATCTAGGTTCTTTCCATAGTTTGGCTATTGTAGACATTGCTGCTATAAAAATTCGGGTGCACGTCCCCCTTCGGATCACTATGTTTGTATCTTTAGGGTAAATACCCAGTAGTGCAATTGCTTGGTCGTAGGGTAGTTCTATTTTCAACATTTTGAGGAACCTCCAAGCTGTTTTCCAGAGTGGTTGCACCAGCTTGCATTCCCACCAACCCAGCATCACCTTGATGCCAAAACCAGACAAGGATCCCATCAAAAAAGAGAATTACAGACCAATATCCTTGATGAACACAGATGCGAAAATTCTCACCAGAATACTAGCCAATAGGATTCAACAGTACATTAAAAGGATTATTCACCACGACCAAGTGGGATTTATTCCAAGGCTGCAAGGTTGGTTCAACATCTGCAAATCAATTAGATACAATACATTAATAAGAAAAAGAACAAGAATCATATGATACTCTCAATAGATGCTGAAAAAGCATTTGACAAAGTACAGCATCCCTTCCTGATCAAAACTCTTCAAAGTGTAGGGATAGAGGGCACATACCTCAATATTATCAAAGCCATCTATGAAAAACCCACCGCAAATATCATTCTCAATGGAGAAAAACTGAAAGCTTTTCCGCTAAAGTCAGGAACGCAGCAGGGATGTCCATTATCACCACTGCTATTCAACATAGTACTAGAAGTCCTAGCCTCAGCAATCAGACAACAAAAGGAAATTAAAGGCATCTAAATCAGCAAAGAAGAAGTCAAACTATCACTCTTCGCAGATGATATGATACTCTATGTGGAAAACCCAAAAGACTCCACTCCAAAACTGCTAGAACTTGTATAGGAATTCAGTAAAGTGTCAGGATATAAAATCAATGCACAGAAATCAGTTGCATTTCTCTACACCAACAACAAGACAGAAGAAAGAGAAATTAAGGAGTCAATCCCATTTACAATTGCACCCAAAACTATAAGATACCTAGGAATAAACCTAACCAAAGAGGCTAAGAATCTATACTCAGAAAACTATAAAGTACTCATGAAAGAAATTGAGGAAGACACAAAGAAATGGAAAAATGTTCCATGCTCCTGAATTGGAAGAACAAATATTGTGAAAATGTCTATACTACCTAAAACAATCTACACATTTAATGCAATTCCTATCCTCTCTATTACTCTTGATGACCTCTAAACATCACCTCAAACAGACACATTTTTAAGTACTTTCAGAGTCAAGTCTTCTTCGTTGCCTCTCAGTTTATCCTCATTTTTAAAAGCTGTTCTATCTTATTCAATTGCTCTTTATGGAAAGAACATCCAGTTCCTCAATTCTCTGTCTTCCTCTGTGTGGTGTATCCAAAGGTTACATAATCACTGCCTCAAGAATTATATAGGTGTAAACACTGCTACCCACATCTATTGATGGGTTGCTTCACTGGCAATAACTGTGAATTTGCCTTGGGTACCATCAACATGTCAGAGCTGTCACCTATGCACCCAAATGATGCAGTGATTAGCAACCTTACAGAGTGGAGAAATAAAAGCACATTTTGTTAAATTTATGTCATTAAGTAGATTTCTTTTTGACAATTATGTCCACTTTATAAAAGTTTCATAAGCTGAAGAAACTGAAATTATCTTCGTCACCAAGAGATGCTAACTTAATAAAATCTCTGAATTCCTGAGGATTTAATTTTGAAAACTTCACATCTTTCTCTAATTCCAGTACATTAGTACCCAAAAACTCAGATGAACTTTGTTAGGGTAAACCATAGTCTTTATTATTTGAAAGTGATACTCATGAATGATTTACTTCCCAGAAGCACACACACACACACACACACACACACACACACACACAGGTATACTAGCAGTTGACTAACACATTACCACGGCTTGTTATGAGAAAATTAATATAAGCATTGTACCACTGATATTTAGTCAACAAATGGTCCAAATGATACAATTTTGGGTTTAGGAAAGAAAATAAGACTTAAAAAATACAAGCAGTTCTAGATTGACTCTCAATTCCCCATATGTTGGAAGAGAGACAATGATGGAAAGACAGTGTTAATGCATTATGACTAGCCAATATGAGAAAAGTATATTTTTAGGAAACATTTCTATACTATTTACTATTTATTCCACTATTATACTATTTACTATGTGTCATGCCCTGTTCTAAACAGTGTGAATTATTAAATAGTTAAATTCTCATTACATGTTAAGTGATTGCTATTACTATTTGTGTTTAACAGTTGTGAAACTGAGGCTAGAGAGATTAAGGAAACTACCTAAGGACAAACAGTTTATAAGTGCTAGAGCTTAGATTTAAATCTTATCCATTGTGCTATGCCATCCTAATATATCTTTTTTTGTTGTTGTTTTTTAGTATAGTTGACACACAATGTTACATTATTTTCAGGTATACCACTTAGTGATTTGTCAAGTTTATACATCATGTTATGTTCACCACAAATGTGGCTATACCATCTGTCTTGTTATATTACTATTACAGTATCATTGAGTGAATTTGTTAGGCTCTGCCTTTTGTTTCAATGATTTACTCCTTCCATTTGTTACATCTGATAAGGGGTTAATTAATATCCAAAATATATAAAGAACTTACACAACTCAACCCCAAAACAACAAACAATCTAATTTAAAAATAGGCAGAGGCCCTCAATAGTCATTTTTCCAAAGAAGGTATACAGATGGCCAACAGACATGTGAAAATATGCTCAACATCACTAATTGTCAAGGAAATACAGGCTGATATCCAAGATCTGTGAAGAATTCCTCAAATTCAACACACACAAAACAGATAATCATGTCAAAAAATGAGCAGGAGACATGAACAGACACTTCTGCAAAGAAGACATACAAATGGCTAACAGACACATGAAAAAATGTTCATCATCATTAGCCATCAGGGAGATTCAAATCAAAATCATATCGAGATACCACCTTACACCAGTTAGAATGGCCAAAATCAACAAGACAGTAAACAGCAAGTGTTGGAGAGGATGTGGAAAAAAGGGGAACCCTCTTACACTGTTGGTAGGAATGCAAGTTGGTGCAGCCACTTTGGAAAACAGTGTGGAGATTCCTTAAGAAATTAAAAACAGAGCTACCCTATTGCAATTGCACTACTGGGTATTTACCCCAAAGATACAGATGTAGT